GAGTGTGGTGGTGTAGCTGTGGCTCACTGCAACCTTGACCTCCCGGACTCAAGCAATTCTCCCGCTTCAGCCTCCCAAGTAGCCGGTACCACAGGTGTGCACCAGCACACCTGGCTAATTTTTTAAAAAGAATTTTTTGTAGAGATGGGGTCTTGCTATGTTGTCCAGGTTGGTCTTGAACTTCTGGGCTCAAGCAATCCTCCTGCCGCAGCCTCCCAAAGTGCTGGGATTACAGGCATGAGCTACTGCGCCCTCCCTCAATTGTCTTAAACCCCCTCTGTAGGGATCTCATTAGATAACTAGGAAAGATCAACCACCAGAGAAAAGAAGAAACTGGGAGTCAGCACCATGTTGAGAGAGAGTTTTTAATCTGTTCTTCTGAGGGCAGCTCTAAGAAATTACTTGGGGTACTTTATTTGCCTAATAAGACAACATTTGTTCCCATACACCACCATGTCTCACCTTCCCTTAATGTCTCTACCTTCCACTTTTGGAGTCCATTCATTCCTAATGATTTACCATCCCTCAAAACAATGGTCTATATTCCCCATCTTTCTCCTGACCTATGAAAAAGGGTATATAAGCTTCTGTACTGCATTGGGCTACCTGATAATCACTCTGTGATTTTTTTTTCCCCCTGTACATTAATAAATTTGTATGCTTTTCTCCTATTAATCTGTCTTTTGTCACTTTATTTTCAGGTAACCTTCAGAAGGTGAACGGGATCCCTGTGCTCCCACAATTTGTTATTTTTATCTAGGATTTTTCTGTAATTAAAAAAGTCTTTTTGAAAATCAGGTGTCTATATTGTTTTACACTAAACTAAAACTGAGGTAACTAACAAGTACAATGCACTGCAGGTACTCTCTTCATCTTGTAGTTCACGCTTAAGCACTGAACCTGTCCTAAGAAATGTGAGTATTCCTGTAGTCAAAGAGTCATCATTCAATGAACAAGCTAGGTCCCTGTGAAAACTTTAGCATCTAATCATTAAATTGATTTAAAGCAAGAGAGATATTATTGCTATTGTCTTATTAATGGCATGGTTCCAGTCATGTATGCTAATTTTCAGTATTACTACTTTTCAAGACTGGGAAACTCATTTATTTTTCACTGAATGTGAATTTGAAAGGATGAAAGGAAGTAAACTAAGGAAGGACAATCAAATTAATGTAAAAAAGGCAACAGTAACAAAAAGTGTTCATACCAGCATTCAGCATAGTGCCTGGCAGATGATAGGTACTCCAAAATACTTTTTATTTTTAAAGAGATGGGGTCTTACTAGGTTGTCCAGGTTGGAACGCAGTGGCTATTCACAGGCGTGATCATTGTGCACTACTGCCTCAAACTCCTGAGTTCAAGCAATTCTCTTGTCTCAGCCTCCTGAGTAGCTGCGACTACAGGTGCAGCCACCGCACCTGGCTTCCCAAAATTCCTCTTGAATGAATGAATGTTGAATGAATGAATGTTCCTTAATTCCAGGTACGTCAGAATCAGTGCGAATTGGTGCACATGATTTTAGATGCTAGGCTGTTTCAATATTACATAGAAACTGAGTCTCCACATGATAACCCTGGTGTTTTCCCTAAAACAACAAGCCATTAAGTTGAAGTACCAACTGTTTCTTCTCATCTTCATGATCATTTAAAATATCTGGTTCTTTTCCTCTGTTTTATGCATCATAATTTTTCAAACGTTTTTCTATTCCGTCTCTACTGGAGGTTGTCAATGTTGTTATGACTCTGTTAACTCTTCTTTATAGAGTTATAGAAGGATCTCATAAAAAGTAATATTGGTGTGTAAATAAGATGCAACAAGCAATGACCTTCATTTTTCTATTCAATAGAAAAGAGATAAACTAATGAGTAATAAAATCCTTCTAGAAATTCTGATTCTTTTTTGGTCAACTTGATACAGATCAGGTAGAAGTGGTCTCCTGACAGAAGCAATGGTCTTTTTTTTTTTTTTTTTTTTTAATACTTTAAGTTCTAGGGTACATGTGCACAATGTGCAGGTTTGTTACATATGTATACATGTGCCATGTTGGTGTGCTGCACCCATTAACTCGTCATTTACATTAGGTATATCTCCTAATGCTATTCCTCCTCCCTACCCCCTCCCTAAAATAGGCCCTGGTGTGTGATGTTCCCCTTCCCGAGTCCAAGTGATCTCATTGTTCAATTCCCACCTATGAGTGAGAACATGCGGTGTTTGGTTTTCTGTTCTTGCGATAGTTTGCTGAGAATGATGGTTTCCAGCTGCATCCATATCCCTACAAAGGACATGAACTCATCCTTTTTTTGTGGCTGCATAGTATTCCATGTTGTATATGTGCCACATTTTCTTAATCCAGTCTGTCACTTATGGACATTGGGTTGATTCCAAGTCTTTGCTATTGTGAATAATGCTGCAATAAACATACATCTTTTTCAAGCCAGTGGAAAAAGCCTATGTGTTTCCAGTAATCCCACTTAGTTTTGCTGATCTTTGAGCATTACTGGGTAAGTTGTAGTTAAATGTCACCTTGCTTTTTCTTACTAGAAACTTAATGTTATATTTTTAACATTTAATGTTAATTTTCTTTAATTTCAATTTAATTTTAATGTTATGTTGATAGAAGAAATAACACTTTTTGGTTAAAATCATGTTTAGGATCTATATACTTTGAGTTCACTTCTCAATCAGATGGATTCTATGAAAAGTTCAATAAAAAAGGATAGAAGGTATGTTTCCATTTCTATTCAGCGTTTTAAGGAGAGAATCTTATCTTTTGGGGTTCCCCAGCTCTTTTTGATAAATGGTAAAGGAGCATTTTGAAAATAATGTTGTGCAGATATATTTGCAGATATATTGTGCAGATACAGTTGGTATTTCCTTAAAAAATCAACCCATATAAATATTTGAGAGTCTGTTGTTTTGGTGAAACAATGGAGCCATTACGTGATTGGTATTATGTAATGGAAGGTTTCAAATAGCTTCCTGCATTTACCAATAATTCACAAGGGATGCATTTAGGTATATTTTCTACCAAGCCCACATCATTTTGGCTGAGATTTCCAAGTCAGGTGAATCTCTTCTATTGTTTACATTGGTGTCCATGCCAAAGAGGAGTGAGTCAATAGAAAGGCAGTCTTGCAGCACATAGCTGCCACGTTTCTGGATCATACCTATTTAAAAGATGTAAATTTGGGACCCAGTCAAGAAACAAGAAAAAAAAATGCAGGTTAATGAATGGCATAAATATTTATATTTTATGTATGTATGTAATACCTAAAACTAACGCCCAAAGAAAAATGAAAATCAATAGAAAGTGAAAACGAATGAATCTGAACTTTCCGATTGTATTTTAATTCACTGCCTGATAGGTTTAGACGACTGCATAGCATTCCCTCTTTTTTTTTTTTTTTTAATGGAGTTTCGCTCTTGTTGCCTGAGCTGAAGTGCAATGGCATGATCTCGGCTCACTGCAACCTCCACCTCCCAGGTTCAAGCAATTCTCCAGCCTCAGCCAACCGAGTAGCTGGGATTACAGGCACGCGCTACCACACCTGGCTAATTTTGTATTTTTAGTAGAGATGGGGTTTCACCATGTTGGTCAGGCTGGTCTCGAACTCCTGACCTCAGATGATCCATCCGCCTTGGCCCCCCAAAGTGCTGGGGTTACAGACATGAGCCACCACGCCCGGCCTGCATAGTATTAATTTGTTTTTTTTTTTTTTTTTGAGACGGAGTCTCGCTCTGTTGCCCAGGCTGGAGTGCGGTGACACGATCTTGGCTCACTGCAAGCTCCGCCTCCTGGGTTCACGCCATTCTCCTGCCTCAGCCTCCCGAGTAGCTGGGTCTACAGGTGCCCACTACCACACCCGGCTAATTTTTTTTGTATTTTTAGTAAAGACGGGGTTTCACCCTGTTAGCCAGGATGGTCTCAATCGCCTGACCTCGTGATCCGCCCGCCTCGGCCTCCCAACTGCATAGCATTCTTTACAAGTGGCCCCATGTGCCAATGAAGCAGAACCCTGTCCAAAGAAATCCCAAGTAGTTAGGGTAGAATGGGCTCTGATTGACTTTTCTTTTTCTTCACTCCCATTATTTTTATAACACAAGTAATGCAGCATATATTTGTTGTTAAACATTGAAATAATAAAGAGATACACATATTAAAGAATAAAAGACTCCTACATGCATTGCTGCCCAGCTCCCAAAGATAACCACTGCTAAGTTTGCATTCATTTTTCTAAACCCTCTTTTAAATACACATTCAAACACATCTATCTATAGTTTGTAGAAAATTCTGCCATATGATGCATATTATTTCACAGCTTACTTTTCTCTCTTATTTTATTAAAAAAAATTTTTTTTTTGAGACGAGTCTCACTCTGTCCCCCAGGGTGGAGTGCAGTGGTGCAATCTCAGCTCACTGCAAGCTCCGCCTCCTGGGTTCATGCCATTCTCCTGCCTCAGCCTCCTGAGTAACTGGGACTACAGGCACCTGCCAACATGCCCGGCTGATTTTTTTGTATTTTTAGTAGAGATGGGGTTTCACTGTGTTAGCCAGGATGATCTTAATCTCCTGACCTTGTGATCCACCCGCCTCGGCCTCCCAAAGTGCTGGGATTACAGGTGTGAGCCACCGTGCCCAGCCTTCTCTCCTATTTTTTTAAAGAGATGGGGGGGGGTGTCTTGCTATGTTGCCCAGGTTGGAGTGCAGTGGGCTAGTCATAAGCATGATCACAGTATACTACAGCCTCAAATTCCAGGCTCAAGTGATCCTCCAGCCTCCGCCTCCCTAGTAGCTGGGGCTACAGGCCTGTGCAACCATGCCTGATTACTTTTTTCTCTTGATGGTATGTTATGGACATTTTCCCATGCTAGTACATGGATCCACCTTTTTAAAGATTGAGCCTATGGAATTCTAAATTATGGGTGTATCATAATTTATTAAATGTTTCTTTTCATTGTGTTAGGAATTAGTTTTGGCACCAGTAAGGAAGACTAAAAAATGTGGCACAAAATTAAAAGTTTTATCTTTTTCATATAACAAGACTTGTATAGTCCTGGGCATATGTGATAATTCCGTGATGTTTTCAGGGATAGACTGATTTCGCTATTCTAATACTGAGTGTGGCTCCCATCCTCAAGGTAATGCTATGGTCCCAAAGTGACTGTTGGAGCTCCAGCAATCAAATCTTCATTCCAGTCAGGAAGAAGTGAAAGGTAAGGAACAAATTGGTGTGCCAGTAAAGTCAATCCCCTTTTAAAACCCTTTTGTACAAGTCCTACCTAACAATTCCTGCTTATATCTCATTGGTCATATCTTAACACATAGCCATTCCTTTCTGTCAGGAATTAAGGGAAATTTAATACTGTAGTCAGATATATTGATACCAACAACAATCAGGTTCTTTTAGTAAGGAGGAAGGGGAGAATGCAGATTGACTGGGTATCTAGCAATCTTACCACATGTATTGGTACATATTTTGCTTGTTTACAATTTTCACTATAACAAATAGTGCTGCAATGAATATACATGAACGTGTTTCTTTTCATTATATTCACTTCATATTTTTCTGTAACCTTTGATTTTTATTTTGATTGATTTATTAATTATCTTCTATATGTTACATCTTTTCATTATTTATAACTTCATCCATTTTTCATCTGTTCTTGGCTCAAAGGAGGAAGCATCCTGCTCTCTTCCCAGTGTTCTCTCTTTTTCCCTCTTTGAGCTTCATGGTGAAAACAGAATAATAGGTTAAGATGTTGATGTTTGGAGGTAAAAGAAACATAAATTGAGGGTGTCTCCAACCTGATCATCTTTATGAAAAGGCAAGGTACCAGGAGGAGACAGCACAGACTGGGGCTAACTTCTCACTCCATCACTTTCTAAGGGTTGTGACCTTCAAGGAATTACTTAATGTCTTTGTGCCTTAGTTTTTCCATCTGTAAAACGTTATCAGTGTTTGCATTTACCTCATAGGGTTGGTGTGAGAATGGAATGTAAAGCACTTGGAAATAGTAGCTGGCATATACTAAGTGCTATGTGAGTTAACGGTTGTCAGTTCTCGCCTCAGTGAAGTAAAAAATAGTTTCTGTGCAGTGTAATGGGAATGGAGGCACAACGACAGGGCAGGTGGTGGTCAGAGTCCACACGGTCTTTGTGAGAGATTTGAGGTTGTCAGGGAGGTATGAATCAAGGGATGGTTGTGTAATGTTGAGAGGACAGTTGAAGTCAGACATCACATCGACTGCTTAGAAATAGGAGTAAAGACACTGAATAAATAGGATTGAAATTAACTGGGTAGGGTTGGCAGAAGGCCAAGTGGATAGAGCACTAGAAGGTGCTGATATGAGTTAGCTGAAATAATTTACCACAATATTCTGAGTGGGAAAAGAGAAACAGAAGAGTACTTCAGAAAGCCATTTCTCTTGAATTAAGGGGTCAGAGTGAATTGTGGATAGAAAAAAGGAGGTGGACTGAGAATAGATTTTCAGAATTCAGCCTTTTAAAGGTATCATTCGATAGTATACTTTCAGGTGTGGCTCATGTGACTGGATTACTGCAGTGAAAAAAAGCCAGAGATGAAGATCAGGGAAAGAGAGGGAATCAAATATTTCATTCAGTTTCATTTACTAGGCAATTGAGGATCACCTAGTACGTGCTAAATGGGCTTTGTGTTGTGGTGAACAAGATATAGGTATCTCCTAACCATTAAGTTAAAAAACAAACATATATATATATGTTATTTAAAAGCAAACACATATATAAAACTATATATACGTTTTTTAATTAAGAGGAATCAAAGTCATTTGTGTATACCTAGATACTTACCGTTTCTTATGTTACTCATTTCTTCCTGAAGATCTGTGTTTTCCTGTACTATTATTTTACTTCAGCCTGAGGAATTTCCTTTAGTACTTCTTATAGTGTAAGTCTGCTTGTGACAAATTCTCCTAATTTTCCCTTTTTAAAAAATGCCTTTTGAGATTGGTTTTTGGAAGGATATTTTTGCTGAACATAGAATTCTAGAACATAGTTCATAGAACATAGAACTAAATTAAGTTAGTTCTCTCTGCGTTTAAAAACGTCCCAGTGTTTTCTGGACTTCATTTTTTTTTTTCCTGCAGGAAGTCAGAAGTCATTTGTATCATTGTTAACTTATATGTAATGTACATATATTTCTCCCATGGTAGTTTAAAAATATATTTGGAAATGTTTGATACTCCCTACTTCAAAAGGTAGAGCTGAGGTTCCTCCCCTTGAATATGGCTCCAACTTAGAGACCTGATACTCATGAGCAGAGTGGTAATAACTGACTTCCAAAGCTGGGTCATAAAAATGTGGTTCAGAGCACAAGAGCTTCTCTCGGGCTCTCTGTATTTCTCTCTTCTTGTTTTGAGGGAGGTCTAGCCACTATATCATGAAGACGCTTACACAATAGTAGGGAAGAGTCCACATGGAGAGGAACTGGGGCCTCCCACCAAGTGCCGGCTTCAACTGCCAGGCATTTGAGTGATTCATCTAAGTGATCCACCTTGCAAGCAGATCCTCCAGCTCCAATCACATCCAGCTTCAGAGGATGGAGACCTTGCCTGACATTTGGTTACAACAGCATAAAAGCTGAGGACTGTAACCTAAGCTGTTCCCAAATTCTTTCCCACAGAAACTGTCAGAGATAATAAATGTTTTTTTGAAACCATTGAATTTTGAAGTAATTTGTTATGCAGCAATAATTAATACATTTTCTAATTCAAATGTCTGTGTATATTATATTCACCTCAGTGCTCCAATTCTTCAATTTGCTTTGCCTGTGTAAGTGAAAGAAAAAAAAAATGTAAAATTCAAGGTGTACTACAACTGAAAAATCAACCTATAGAAGAAAATTATTAATTTGTGGTAAACCAGTTTATTTTAAGAAAACATTTTGTCTCTTTGGTTTGCCATTGTGCTTGAGCACCTTGTGTAATACTAGGTACATAATAAAACATTAAATAAATATTGTTAAATGAATCAATCAATAAATTTGCTTCCCCAGGTTTGAAGCTTCTGGGGGACAAAAACTATGCCTTATTCATCTTTGTATCTCCCTCATATGGCACAATTCTTAACACTGAACATGCACCATTCACTGTTGAGTTAAATTGAACTTAACTGAAATTCTTGTTGAAGTAAATGATCTGGAAATGGAAGTGAATAAATCATAGCAAAAAATTCATTTTAAAAGTTATATTGTACATTGACTACTGGTGGTTTTCAAGCCCCATCAACCTATCACCAACTAACCAACAAAAAACCCTAAATTCATACTCTGTTGGTGCATGGCAGACCACATGGATTTTTATAATTTCTAACAAGACAACACATCTTCAGATATTTCTAGGGAATCTTTATGAAGCAATATACAATAGTAGGAATTTTACTGTGCTTGGGTTATAAACTATTGCAAGCTGTTGAATTTAGTACATTGTCTGCACAGGCTGAGTAACCTGTATTCCTCCTTATCCAGTTGAGCCTAAGCCATTTCAATAGAGCCGAAGTTTATGAGCATAGTGAATTTGAACACTTAATCTCACTCACTCACTCATGCAACATATAAACTTAGCAATTCTCTTCCTCTTTGGGAGATAAAGCTTATCCAGGGCGTATCCCAGTGGTTTGGAGCACAAGCCAGACTTCTTAGGTGCAAACTTCCAGTGGATCCCTTACCAGCTTTGAGATATTTGGTGTATGTCTTAACCTCTTGCCTTAGTTTCCTCAACTGTAAAATGCAGAAACTAATAGTACTTACCTCACAAGGTAGGTGTCGAGATTAAACACATAAAAATTGCCTGGCACATACTAAGCACGAATAAAAATCAGTTGTTAATGCCTTCGATGCCTACCATGGACCCTGGAACATTGCAAGTGACTTGTAACTTTTGAATGAATAAATGAATGAATGAATAATGAATAAGGTGAGAGTTGTGTCTAAATTATGTTTTCTTTTGTAATTGCATTCTATGATCATACAAAAGTTTTGATTGTTCACTCCTTTTTAGAAATTCCTTATTAGATCAAAAAGAGGCAGAATATGTTCTTTGATAAAGGACATACAAGTAATATTGTCACATGATTACCTGGAGTTGGTACATTAGTCTGTTCTCCCACTGCTATAAAGAAATACCAGAGACTGGGTAATTTGGAAAGAAAAGAGGTTTAATTGGCTCATGGTTCTGCATGCTATACAGAAAGCATGGCAGCGTCTGCTTCTGGAGAGGCCTCAGGGAGCTTTTACTCATAGTGGAAGGCAAAGCGAGAGCAGGTGTCTTACATGGCAGGAGCAGGAGTGAGAGAGAGAGGGGAGGTGCCGCATACTTTAAACAACCAGATCTCTTAAGAACTCATTCACTATAAAGTACCAGGTGGGCATGGGGCTAAACCATTCATGAGAACTCTACCTCCATGATCTAATCACCTCCTACCAGGCCTCACCTCCAACACTGGGGATTACAATTCCACTGGAATTTGGTGATGACGCAGATCCAAACCTTATCAGCTGGGAATTAAACACACACACTTTGGGCTAAGGGGAATTCTGATTTTTCATTTTAATCCCTTCATAAACGTGGACATGGCAGACAGGAGTCAAACGCAGAAAGGAGCATGGAGACCCAGACTTCTAGGTATGCCTTACTGAACTTGTAGAAAGTCCATTCTAACTGGCAAATAGGGCCAAGCTTCTCCCCCTTGACTGCGGTCAATTCCTAGGGAAAGGTAAGGGGTCTAATTAAGCCTTGGCATCCCCCAAACTTGGCAAAGTGCCTGGCAGAGAGTAGTAAGAAAAAAAAAATTGTTTTTAAGGAATGAAGTATTAGGAGATCAAGGCAACTAAGGCGGCTTTGGGTTGAAATATTCTACCTTTGGTCACAAACCTTCCACCTGTACCTCCACTTCCACTTATGTAGACTGACTGCTCAGTTCCCAAGCCTTCTCCTTAGAAAGACTTCCTTTCAATGCAAGCAGCAGAAAAAAGCGACCCAGCTGAAACTTCTGGAGTTATGGGAACGCCTCCTTCCTCTGTCGCTAATGGAGGACTAAGATGGGACTGGGAGTAAAGGAGCGTCTCTGAATGGCGGGGCAGTTGCAGCGTCCCACTTGGCAAGAGTTCTTGAATTACCTCCGCCCCCGCCCTGACCAGCTTTAAACATCAAACTAGGAAACTTATCTTTCGGCAGCAGCGCTGAAGGAGTGACCAGGCGTCTCCGTGATGGGCCCCGGGGACTTCCGCCGCTTCAGACAGAGAATTTCCCAGGGTCTCCAGGGACTCCCAGGTAGAGCGGAGCTTTGGTTCCCACCTCGTCCCGCGTGCGGCTTCCCCGGGGACGGCAGGAGCACGGACGTCCAGGAGGAGGCCCTCGCCGCCAGCCCGCTGCTGGAGGACCTCAAACGACGGCTGACTGGCGCCTTCCAGTGGGCGGTGCAGCGTGGGACCTCGAGGCGCGAGCGGGAGGCGGCGGCAGCGGCGGCGGCGCGGGAGGAGCAGAGCTGGGCGCGCGTCGAGGCCACCCTGGCCGGGCTGCGGGCGGAGCTGGTGAGAGCACGGGCTGGGCGGACGGCTCCCAGGACTCCCTCTCCCGGGACCTCTCCTCGGGCTCCAGAGCAGCTGGCCGCGTAGCCCACCCGAGACCTTGGGGAGAGCGACGGGAGCTGTTCCCAGGGAGGGAGCCCTGGCCCCTTCGGCTATTCTTCCTGGGGAGGCCAGCTCAGGTCTGGACACGGCGTTGACGCCCCGCCTCTCCAGCATCGTTGGGAAGGAAAGGGGCCCTACAGGACCCGTGGTGGTAGTGGTGGTGGTGGTGTTGGGGAGGGAGTTGCCTGGTCTACCAGTGACATACCCAAGATGTCTCCTCCCCAACCCGTTTCTATAGTTTTCTGCCCTGTAGGGAACTGTGACTATGTGTAACTATGGCTCATGGAGGAGGAAACTTCCATGACATAAACTCTCTTGGGACTGATGGAGACTGTCCATCAGTAAACTCTTTCTTTATACCCCGCAAGTTTTATTCTTATCTTTCCCGTGGGTAATAATTCAGAAAACTGGAAATAAGGCATTTTGTAAAATTGCCCAGTTTTGAACATTACACAGGTTATGTCCGAATATTAAACAGGAGGGTGGACAGGTAAGTATTTTAGCTGACTGATTTTTTTTTTAAATTAAAAAAACTGGAAATTAGTCACGATTTGAAACGGACACAATGAATAGGAGCAATTCAAACTTTAAAATGGTGCTGCCTAGGAAAGTGTGCAGTGGAGACTTGGAAAATTCTTCTCTTTTGCACTGATTACTAGTACACTAATACAATTAACCACTACTTTAGAACTGATCCAACCATCAGTAAGTTGTCTTAAGAATGTTATCGCATTTCTGAGTTTAAGAAGAACAGTATTAGGCTGGTGCTGTGGCTCACGCCTGTAATCCTAGCTCTTTGGGAGGCCAAGGCAAGGGAACACCTGAGGCCAAAAGTTCAAGACCAGCCTGGCCAACATGGTGAAGCCCCGTCTCTACTAAAAATACAAAAATTAGCTGGGCATGGGGGCTGGCGCCTATAATCCCAGCTACTCAGGAGGCTGAGGCAGGAGAATCACTTGAACCCGGGACGGAGAGGCTGCAGTGGGCCGAGATTGTGCCATTGTATGCCAGCCTGGGCGACATGAGCGAGACGTCTCAAAAAAAAAAAAAAAAAAAGACAATATCGGAAATTCCTTGTCAGATTCACATTGTTAACATGGGTTAAATTAGATTTACTACCAGATTTACTATCTGATCCAACAATGTCGAAGAAACACCTGGTTTTCACCCCAAGCCTAAGCGGTGAGTCTGAGCAGCAGGGCAGCCGGAGCCACCTCATTCGGCCCCTGGAGGCCTGTGCTATGGGCCAGGATGCTAAACTGGAAGGCTGAAACCTGGCGCAGCCATCTCTGCATTGGAGTCTTGGGATCTGCCGGTACCCCTTCCTGAGCCTCAGGGGCTCACATTTAAATCAGATGAGGAGATTACACTGAATAAGCTCTGAGACAGCTTTCAACCTTAACATTCTGGTAAGTTGTTAGGAGCTTTAGACAAGTAGTATGTTGGGGGTGGCAATAAAATCTGGTGAGATTGGGGCATTCGGGGTGGTATGACTGTAGACCGCTGGTGGCAATAAAATCTAAACAGATGAGGGCTCAAATACCAACATTACCATTTACAGGTTCTGCAAACACTTGCTGGCCCTACAACTTTGGGATTGGTACTTAGCCAGTTTGAGTTTGTTTACCCATCTGTAAAATGGAATTTATAATCTCATAGGATTCCAGAGCTTATGTGAGATAATATTCTATGAAATGCTTAGACCATGGGTATTGTTTAGTGGCTATTATTGTAATGATTACTATAGACCTTGGACTCTGTACCAAAAAAGAACAGATACATTCCTATCAAAAAATCAGGACTTTTTCCAGGAGGGAACCAGCGAAGTTTACACATACACAAATAATGTGTCCTTGGGTTACAGACGATGGTCAACATCTTGGTCAATCATTTTATCCTGGTCATAAGGAAGAGGCACACGAGTGTGGATATTGTACCTTAATATCATCACCACTAGAATACTTAGTTTTCAATTTTTGGCTATTAACTGGATTTTTACAGGAACTGACATACATTGCTATACAAATGTACATGTATCATGTATTAGGATAGTATTTGTAAGGAACGATGATGAGCAAATTTAATTGAGTTGTGTTGCTATTTATACTATTTTTTGTTGTTTGGGTTTTCTTAGTGAGAATCATTGATTTCTAGGGTCTGTGAGTGGATTTCAGGGGTTCTATATACCTAAAATTGTATACAAAATTTTTGATGTGCATATAGTTTTTCATCAGAGGGTTCATAACTTTCATCAGATTCTCAAAGAGATCCACGATGAAAGAAAAGTTAAAGAACCATTGATGTTTGAATTTCATAAGTGTGAATTATACATACTTAATTTAGATGGTAAATCATTACCAGTAATTTTTCTTCTTGATTCTTGCATGAAAGTACAGGATGGATATTCATCAGTTAATTAATTCACTCACTTTTATAACAAACACAAAGAGAACCTACTGGGTTGTGTGCCCAGACAGTGCACTCTTAGTTGGGGATACAATTATGAATAAGATACAGTCTCTACCCTCAAAATCATCAGTCTGGTCTGGTCAGCGTGTTCTGAGAGACACTTGTACAGAGTGCTGCGGATGCACAGATAAGAGGCAATTACGTCTGCCCATGCAATCAGGGAAGGCTCCTCAGAAGAGCTGGCGTTTGACTGGGTTCAGCAGAGAGAGCTGGCAAAGGGCATCTTAAACAAAAATGGGGACAGAAAGAGGTGTGCTTCAGCTCAGCGTCTGTTCAGGTACTGGCAAGGTTTCTGACCAGCTGCAGTGGGAGCTGGCATTGGAAAGAGGGCCAGGAAAGGAAGCGCAAAAGTAGAGCAGGATTATAAAGCATCTGGGCTACCCTAGAGAGCTGAAGCTTCCTGCAGGCAAGGTGCAAGGGTTTTTTGGTGGTGATTGTATGGTTACTGTTACTGCTTGTTTGCTGGACATTCACTTATTTTATTCTTTCCTAATTCTTGCTGTCAGAAAAATGATTCTAGGTGCTGCAGAATGGAGAAGCATGTCTCAGAGAAAAACTGAAAGATAGTTTTATCCAGTAGCTTTATTTTGCAAATTAGGTGACCATGAGTATTTACTTTTTACCAACACACTGTCCTGGTTCATCCTGGGGTGGTTTCTACTGAAAAGCTGATGAAGCTTTTTTAGCAGAGAGAACAAATTCCTCATGAACTGCATTAAACAAGCCCTAGCTGAAGAAATTTGCAAGTAGTTGATCATTAGTTTTCAGTTATAATACAAAGATTACGTTGGACTAAGCTTTGCTGGACTGTCCCCGGGGTAACATGCCCGAGAGATCTTTTTTGAAACACATGAGGACCTTCATAAAACTCCCATTGGAGGATGGTATAAATCAGCCTTGATATCTAACAGATTTCACTCCAGAGTGAAAAATGTTAGATTATATAAGTACACATAACTATACATGTGCCTCTAAGGTGTCATTAAATGCTTTTGCTCAGCAGGTAGACCATTTAAAATCCTGAAAACTTGAAATGGTAAGGAATCAAGTAAATAGGCACAGATTCTGAATACTCAGGTGGCTGTAGGCAGTTATCCTGTGGCTCAGAAGGCACATAAAGAGAAATGATTTCATTGTGGATCACATGCTATTGCTTGAAAACAGCCTTCAGTACATAGGTATTTTTCATATGGACAGCTTTGTGCATCAGCTGTTTTTGTTTTCATTTCAAGGCCATTTCAAAAGCTATTTATATATCTGGATTTTACCTTGTCATATAGAAAGTCAGTTTTATAGCCAGACCAAATAGAACTGGAGAATAAGATAAGAAATACATCTTTCTTGATATCTTAATTTCTTTTCCTACAAACTTATTTCTTCTGTGTAGTCAGAGAGTGGTTTCATTTGATCTGTATCTCATGCTAATAAAAATTTTTATTTTTTTCTAACTTTTAGGTGGAAATGCATTTCCAAAACCACCAGCTGGCTAGAACTTTACTGGACCTAAACATGAAAGTGCAGCAATTGAAAAAGGAGTATGAACTGGAAATTACATCAGACTCTCAAAGCCCAAAAGATGATGCTGTGAATCTGGAATAAAGAAAGGCACACAAGAAGCTCTTGATCCTAAAAGTAACACAACCCTGAAACAATTCTGATGAACACCTTATGCTTTGCATAAGTTTTGAGGGGCAATTTATAGACCCAAAACTTAGATGACAGGGGAAGGTGACAGAAAAACATCTAAGAGAGGGGAGAGAAAAATGATGTATTCCAAGTTTTAAAGTTATTTGTTGTTTTGACTGGGACATAGAAGTAAAATATAACTCTCTCTCTCTCTCTCTCTAAGAATGCTTTAATGCCAACTTTCGGTATTCCACCTTGTGTCACCTGACCTTTCTGGCATTGCCTGAGCTTTCAGAGTTCGTGCTTGTTTTGCTTTACTTGATTATTCTCGGTTTGTCTGTCCAGCGGGCTGCCCTGCTTTTTGTGGATAATTATTTCTACTTGAATTCTAATCATGCCGTTTAGGTGGTCTGTGACTAAGGGTACTCCACCTTCCTGGATGTAGTCATGCAGCTCAAGGCAGGCTGATGGGTTTGTCCTTAGGATTTTTTGAATGGGCACTAAAAGAGTAGATGAGTATTTCTGCCAGTAGAAGTTGTGGATCAGGGGCTTGGAAGCTGCTGGTGGTCACCATGTGAGAAAGTTCACCCCCTAATGGAGGTGACTGAAATGGAACCACTAAAAGCACAAAAGGGGAGGGAGGGAGAGTGCTTCGCTTCCTTTTTCCTGGGGTCAAGTTGTGTAAGACTCCAGGCCTTGCTCTTGTTTATATACATGAAACATTCTGATATCCTTTTCATAAAATCTCTTTTTGCCTAAGTAAATTCAAGCTGGAGTTTCATGACTTATATCTAGTGCTCACAACTAACACAGTTGTTCAGTTTTAGGAGTTAAAATGGTTCTTACCATTGAGTTGGACTATCTAACTGTACCCAAAAAGTGCTGTCTTTTTGATGCAAACAATAAAGTTAATAAAAAATAGTTGCAGATCTAAGTGATATTTATAATGGTTATTGTCTGCAAAATACAAATTTATAACAAGCTATGTAATTTTAATATTTAATAAACTATAACAATCAGTTCTTGAAGACAAAGGAGAACAGAAGAGACACGGTTTTTCTCTTTTTAAAATAAATGCAAGAGCCAGCATGGTGGATCATGCTTGTAATTCCAGCAATTTGGGAGGCCGAGGTGGGCAGATTGCTTGAGCTCAGGAGTTCAACAACAGCCTGGCCAACATGGCAAAACCCCGTCTCTACTAAAAATACAAAAATTAGCAGGGCGTGGTGATGCTCACCTGTAGTACCAGCTACTCAGGAGGCTGAGGCGTAAGAATCCCTTGAACCTGGGAGGTGGGGGTTGCAGTGAGCTGAGATCATGCCCCTGCATTCCAGCCTGGGTGACGGAGGGAGACTTGGCCTCAAAAAAATAAAAATAAATAATAATAGTAATAAAAGAAATGCAAGTTGTTTTATGTGAGGATCTGAGAATTATCTGGACTAAGTTTAGTTTGTCCTTAACCTTTTTTTTCCCACGATAAGTAAAGTTATTCTAGCCCTTTGGTACTTAATTGCCCTCTATATAAATGAGGAATTCCCAAGTTCAGCATTGGCAAATGACCAGTCGCCAGCATCTCAGTATCTGACCATTGCGTTCCTTCAGACGTTTTGCATATGAGCTCTTGGCCTATAAATATACGATTACTATATTAAATTTCATTTATAAACTAGATTTCCTATTTATTTCTTCCTTTGAATTTTATAGAAATTTTCAAGAAAGGGTTGGCACAGTTCCTTGTGATCTGTTTTTTGAAAAAGCTTCTACTTAACCTTTGGGACAATCATTCTCAAATGTGTTTTAAAGATGAACATTTATAAATCGTTGTAATTTTGTGTTTGAAAAATACTCAAGGTGATTCATTATATGAGCTCAATTCCTTACAGAATACAGACTGCTGACATTGGTTAATATTAATGTCATTTGAGTATACTGATAATATACTGGGGATCAAAAGAAAGAAAATTTAAAAGTATGAAAATTGATGCATTGTTTTTCACATTTTTAGGTTAAAAAAGGTCCATTATTACACTGCAAAGTTTTGGTCACCACTTTTTCCCCACATCTTTCAGTGATGAACTTTGGATCACTGTATTTTTTTAGGGTGACATATACAGAAACAGAATGAGAAACTCCTTTGTGTCCCACGTGTCTTGTTTGATGGAAGTCTGAATCAGTGGAGGTAGCCTCTGATATTAACTGTGCCATGTGGAAATACAATGGGAGCTTGATACGCGGGACACTATCATTATTAAAAATTTTTATTTTCTTTCCTCTCCAGTATGCTATCTCTTGCCTTTTGTTTTTAAAGTAGCAGAGGCCAGATGATTGTCTTTATATAGTTCTTTGCCATGGCGCTCAGCTGTTGGTTGTTAGCTTGCTGGCCTGGCATCCTGTCAGCTGGGACCCATGATAGAGCAGATAAACTTTTCTGAGGGCTGAGGCTGCCCTGCAGTCTACACTTCCCCTCTTTCCAGGATTTCTAAATAAGCCAGAGCAACAGTGTGCCATTTTAAAGATCTATGAAATGGGAGCACCAAACTAGTGCCAGCTGGAGGGGAAAATGAGAAAATAATTATAACCTAAATTATGCATCGGGGAAGCAGTAGCTGGATAAACTGAAGAAAGTAAGATGTTCGTAACAATAGTGGGAGAGAGAGGGCCAAAAGAAGAGACACTAAAAACAGTTTTGTGAGGAAAATATTGTGCTTGAGTTTTTCAAATGACACAATTTCTCGCAGCTCTAATCATAGGGGGGATTAAACCACGTTAGCAGGAAATGGGCTTTCGCCATATGGTACTTGTTTAGCACCTACCAGTGAATAGGTGCCAAATTAATTATGACAATTAGAAGCTTTGCCTAGGTTGTTAGGCATCAAATTCCTTTACAGGTGGCCTGGATGAATCCGTGTTTTGTTTGGCTTGCCAAACGACTTCTGCTGTAACAGGTGCTTCTGCAACTCCCAGCCTGGGGACAGATCAGAGTCCTCTGTGGGTAACCCCATGATAGCTGAGTCTAAAGCAGTGTAATTATAAGAATCTCATCTCCCCTGCTCCCTTCCTGGTAGGCCCAGGGCCCCGGCACAACCATCAGCTCTATTTACCGCTGTAATCACTGCCAGAATCCCTCTGTGCCTGGAACCTGGCACGAGGCCCTCCAGTGCCAGCTGCCTTCTCTCTTGGTTGCTTTCATTGCTGCTTCTGCTGCCATTGCTGCAGCCTCTGTTTTCTTTTTGACCATGTCAGTAATGAAGGTTATGGTAGGGTGAGAAATACAGTTAGGGTGACAGTTGCATCTGTGCCACCCTCCCTACCTCTCGTCTGGCAGCCTCTTGTTCCGTCTGAGCTGAGTGCTGGGCAGTAGGACTTGGATGGATGGACACCTATTACAGTAGCCTGTGTCAAGCACTGCTTCTCATGGGGCTGTGTACCTCTCATCTGCCTCCTGATTCTGGCATTGAGGCATATTGGGGGTGAGAGGGCTTCACCTCTTCCTTAGAAGCAATAATGTCATAGTCTTTCTCTTCTGATACCAGTACGAGAGGGATCTGTTGAAATGTAATAATGATGAAACTAACAAAGGCATCAACCACCACTCCTGTACCAGTCATTGTGCCAAGAACTGTACATGTATCAGCTTATTTAATCCTCACAGTGACTGTAGGTGTGTAGGACCTGTTTTTGGAGCTATTTGAACTTGGTGCTTAGTCCTGGCTCTGCCACTTACCAACTATATGACCTAAAGCAAATTGCTTTAAATTCTTTAGGTCTCTCCAAGGAAGTCAGTGAAAATGGGACCTGTCTTACCTAAATCTTAAGGAACTCAAATCAGGTTTGGGAGAATGAGTTAATGGCGAAGGAACTTCTACATCACGTGTTTATTTCATATCTTTAGTTTCATATGATCTTACTACCTTTTTGGACTGATACCTTCCCTGCGCCCCTCTCTTCCTCATATCTTTATGTCTTGGTGATGCTCTGCCACCTGCTCGCTGTTATGTTGTTGTCCCGGAGTTCCCTCTGTGGATCGAAAAATTGATTTAGCAAACATGGGAATAGGCAGCAGGAAGATATAAAGTGAATAGTCGCTGCTACTTGCCAACCCCTGAATCTGCCTGGCATGCAGCGCTATGTGTTTAAAATGTAATTGTCCCAACAAAACTGTGAGGTTGGAACTATTGCACTTCCCATTTTACAGAAGAAGAGAGTGAGTGTTGGAGAGGTGATGTAATTCATCACGATCCACTCAGCTAGCAAGTAGATGTCAAGATTCACATCTGATGTTGGGAGTGGTCTGGCTATTACTGGGCCCCTCCCAAACTAATGGGAGAGACCTTGCACTAGAGAATAAATTCAATATTATAATAGAAGAATGTATGAATTGCTAGGACAGATGCTTTTTGCAGGAGTCAGACAATGAAGGTCTCATTGAAGACATGCCTCCAAATTATTACTTGGTGTCTACCTGGAAAAAATTCCTCACATCCTGGAGTCTAAACTAGTTGAGTGATGTTAGATAAATTTCTCCACCTTATTTAGCCTCATTTTTTCTCATTTGAAAATGAGATAGTGGAAATGCCCCTAAAACATTCCTCTTAGAGCCTCTATTTTATTATAATCCTGCCTGCTTGTAACTGGATCCTTCAACCACTTGCCCCTGACTTGCCGAGACTTTCTGATTCCCATTATAGCATGACGGACAGCTGACCATTTGTCCCTGGCCCCTGGCAATGAAGTAGACTCTCCTGGTCTCAAACCTTATCCTGATCACAGCGTAAGCTGATGCAGCCTTGATGATGACAGAAAGCAATTCTTGTCACTCTTGGATGCCCCTCTGCCCTTTTCACCCACACCATGACTGCAGCCAGGGGGAAATGTTACATTTGCACTTCTGAGGCAGATGAGCATCACTTAGAACTGTTACGTGTTATTATTTTAGAGGCAGCCTGCTGTGGCAGACGCTGCTGGCTGAGAACCACGCCTTGTGTAGCCTCTGCGGCCGGATGGTGGAGTTGGAATCTTGGCTCCTTCACCTCCTCACTATGTTACTTAACACTTCTACATTTCAGTTTGCTTATCTGTAAATAATGAATCACGCTTACCCCAAGAGTTTGTTATGAGGACCTAGTGGACTAATACATGTGAAGTATTCAGAACACGCAAATAGTGGCTTATTATAACAGCCAATCCAACAAGTGTTTTGCTCATCCTTCTTGCCTGTTGGAAGTGCTCAATTCCAAGACAGGGACAGAGATGACGGCTTCACTTTTCCCTGTCCCTCTTGCAGTTCAAGATGGCTTTAGAATCCAGTCGTGTCTAATAAAACATAGAGGGAAGTTTACTGGGGAGGGTTCTGAAAAACATTTTTTCCCCTTACATGAGGAGAAATAGAAGGTAAGCTGTCTTCCTCCCTACCTCTTTTTTTTCTTTCTTCCAGATATTTTCACATGCAATTGTAAAACTTGCCCATGCTGCAGCCACCCTGTGACCTATGTGGGAAATACAAGTTCACTTTGAAGATGAGAGAACAGAAAGATGAAAAGAAGCAGTGTCTTTGATCACATCACTGAGCTTCTGACCCAACCCAGCAACTGCCTACCTATGGCTAGTCTTGTTCTGCGAGACAGTAACAATAATAAAAATCCAATTGTTTGAGGCACTTTTATTGGGGTATTCATTTCCTTGCACCTGAAAGCACCCTGATAACTTAATCCCCCAAAACCTCCTGGCACAAAGGTTTGTGGTGGTGTCTCTCTGAGAGCAACTCTACATATCATCAGAAACTATGGGCACAGGACTCCAGAGACATCATTTGGTTACTTAAATGTTTCACACATGCCTTTGGCGAGGATGAATTCTATGCAATAGAATATCAGTTAATGCATACTGAAGGAAGACTTGTTGGAGAAGAATCCTCTCCTGAACCCCGGGGAGACTCTAGAATCCTGCGGTAAATGTTCTAATTATTGAAAACATTTCCCCATGCTCACCCTCATTAAAGACATTCTAATGCCTATAAAACCCGCTACCTATCTGATTCTGTCAGAGAAGACATTTCCTTTTTTGGTAACTGGACGCAGTGGGGATGAAAAAAGCGTCTCAGGACTAAACTGGCAGCAGAATAGTAAACTGTTTATCAACTCTTAAATTTTTATACCAGGGAAGTTTAGCAAACCGTCAGAAAACAGCCTGAATTGAATTTCTATAAATATTGCTTCCAAATTGGTACTGAGGATACTAGTTGCTCTACACTTCTACAGGATTCAATCTGGGACTTGTCATGCAAAGAAATAGCTCAAGATTTTACGGTGGGATTGCCAGGGTCAGAGGGCAATGTTCTCTGAAATCCACCAATATTTGTACTGGGCTTTATGGTTACCGTTTACCAAGTACTTTACAGTTTACCAAGTGCTTTCCAGTTTATAATTTACCAGGTGCTATCATAGCTGATAACTCGTTAATCTTACAGTAACCCGCTGAAGTAGGTGTGGGTTGAGGCTACTGAAATTTAAGGAGCATCAAGAAAGCTTGCCTAACTTTAGAAATTATCACCCTCATCCTGTCTTCCCAGGACGTCTCTCTCTCCAAGTAAGCGACGTTACTTCTGGAGGGAGTGCAGTGTTGGGAATCTGAAGACCCAGTTTTGAGCTGAATTTGCTTTGTGGTATCTGGTGAGTCGTTGATGTTTCTGGGCTTCATTTTCTCACACGTAGAAACTTGTAGAGTAAGGCATTTAACTCATAATCATCTTTAAGATGCTTTGGATTAAGCATGGTCATCTCCTGCTAATGGTTTTAATTTGAAACAATGTTGTTACCAACTCATTAGTGAATTAACCTTGGTGGTGATACAAAAAGGTTGAGCTTTATTTAGAGTGTGCTTAGTAAGCAATTAAACAAGGGAAGCTTGTTTATCAAGAAAAAAAAGTACTTAAGTTAAATTCCTTGTATTTTTACAATTTTGCCTTGGGTTAACTTTATTGAACAGCATGAATCTAAGTGCAAATTTGCTCTTTCTGTCATTCATTCAACTTTTTTGTTGCGTCTACTGGGTGCCAGGCGTTGTTCTAGGTATGCGTTGAGCATCAGTTTTAAAATCAGCATCTCTTTCTGGATTCTGAGCATAGGACAATAAACATGAAAGATGGGATTTGGGCTCTCATGTTGCTTGCAGTCTAGATGGCAGGGTGGGGAACAGATAATTCAATAAGATATTACCATACATGTGATAGATGCTATCACAGAGCAAAGTTGAGTGCCAAGGGAGTAAATAGGAAGCAAACTTACCTTGGATGTGGAACGAGAGAGGCGGCATTTTGGAGCATAGCCAAGAGACGGTTGGGAGGAGCAGCAGATAGCAATCCTAGACAGAAACAACATCTCATAGAAGGTCCTAGTGAGAGGTGACAACGTGCTAGCAGCCCTCGCTTTCGTCGCCTCCTCGGCCTCAGCGCCCACTCTGGCCGCGCTTGAAGAGCTCTTCAGCCTGCCGCTGCACTGTGGGAGCCCCTCTCTGAGCTGGCCAAGGCCGGAACTGGCTCCCTCTACTTGAGGGTACGTGTGGAAAGAGAGGCGGCGGCGGGAACCGGGGCTGTGCGCGCCGCTGGCGTGGGCGCGGGCTCGGCGAGTCCCCGCACTTGGAGCCGCTGCGCCGGCCCGGGGCGGTGAGGAGCTCGGCACCCGACCCGGGCCAGCAGCTGCAAAGGGTGCGCCAGGTCCTCCAGCACTGCCGGCCCGCTGGCGCTGCGCTCGAATTCTCGCTGGGTCTCAACTGCCTCCCCGCGGGGCAGGGCTCGGGACCTGCAGCCAGCCATGCCCGTAGGCCTCCCCCCACCCACCTCCCGCGGTGGGCTCCCAGGCGGCCCGAGCCTCCCCGAGGGAGGCCACCCCCTGCTTCTTGGCGCCCGGTCCCGTCGACCGCCAAACGGCTGAGAAGTGCAGACACTGCGCGGCACTGGCGGGCGGCTCGCTGGCGACCCTGGCGCGGGGTCCACTAAGCAAAGCCAGCTGCGCTCCTGAGTCGGGTGGGGATTTGGAGAACTTTTATGTCTAGTTAGAGGATTGTAAATGCACCAATCAGCACTCTGTGTCTAGCTCACGGTTTGTAAATGCACCAATCAGTGCTCTGTATCTAGCTAATCTAGTGGGGGCCTAGGAGAACTTTTCTGTCTAGCACTCTGTGTCTAGCTGAAGGATTGTAGATGCACCAATCAGCGCTCTGTAAAACGGACCAATCAGCGCTCTGTAAAATGGACCAATCAGCTGTCTGTAAAATAGACCAATCAACTCTCTGTAAAACGGACCAATCAGCTGTCTGTAAAATAGACCAATCAACTCTCTGTAAAACGGACCAATCAGCAGGATGTGGATGGGGGTCAGATAAGGGAATAAAAGCAGGCTGACAAAGCGAGCACTGGTAAGCTTTTCGGGTAGGTTTCCACCTTGTGGAAGCTTTGTTTGTATAATGTATCTTGTGACTGCTCGCTATATGGGTTCGCGGTGAGTTTGTGAGCTGTAACACTCACCGGGAAGGTGTGCAGCTTCATTGCTTAAGTCAGCAAGATCACAAACCCACCGGAAGGAAGAAACTGGACACAGCTGAACGTTTGAAGGAACAAACTCCGGACACACCATCTTTAAGAACTGTAACACTCACTGTCAGGGTCCACGTTTGTATTCTTGAAGTCAGCGAGATCAATGAACCTGCCAATTCCGGACACACTAGAGGTGAGCAAAGTCATCATTTGTTTCAGAGGGTAAAGAAAGCTCAATATACTTGGCACTTACAAGAAAGAATGAAGGTGTTAAGTGTGGTTGAAGTGGTGAACGCTTTGCCACAGGCCTCACAAGCCATATTTTGGGGTTCAGACTATATCGTAAGAGCCTGGGTAAACCACTGAAAAATATTTTAAAATTTAGCTTTTATTATAGCAATACTTGCATATAATATACAAATAATTAAATCTAAAAATCTTACACAAAAATTATCAGTCCGTTGATGGCATGCCCCCTCACCCCAAAGGAAACCACTGCCAATTTTTTTTTTTCCCTTAGAGTCTTCCTCTGTCACCCAGACTGGAGTGCAGTGGCATGATCTCCGCTCACTGCAGCCTCCGCTTCCCAGGTTCAAGCGATTCTCCTGCCTCAGTCTCCCGAGTAGCTGGGGTTACAAAGGCCCACCATCTCATCTGGCTTTTGGTTGTTTAAGTAGAGACGGGGTTTCACCATTTTGGCCAGGCTGATTTTGAACTCCTGACATCAAGTGACATGCCCGATTCTGCTTCCCAACGTGCTAGGATGACAGGCATGAGCCACCGGGCCTGGCCACTTATCATTCTTTTACCTTCTAGATAATGTGAGTAAGCATCTTTGATTTATAGATTTTAGACATTATGTCTTCCTAGTATAACAAAGAGGAAATTTATTTATTTATAATGTCAACTTTTTATTTTAGATTCAGGGGGTACAGGTGCAGATTGTTTCTACCTGGGTATATTGTGTGATGCTGAGGTTAGAGGCACGGTTAATCTCAGCATCCAGGTACTGAGCATAGTGCCCAGTAGTTTTTCAATGCTTGCCTCCCTGCCTTTCCCCATTAGTAGACCCCCATGTCTATTTTGCTATTTTTGTGTCCATGAGTACCTAATGTTTAGCTCCCACTTATAAGTGAGAACATGTGGTATTTGGTTTTGTGTTCCTGTGTCAATTTGCTTAGGATAACAGCCTCCAGCTGCATCCATGTTCCTGCAAGGACATCATTTTGTTCTTTTTTATGGCTACGTAGTATTTCACGGTGAATATGTACCACATTTGTTTTCAATCTAATTCGTCATTAATGGGCATCGAGGTTGATTCCATTTGACAAAGGAGAATTTTATATTATTCTTTCTGTTGCTAATCCCTTTATTCTAATATGACTTTTTTTGTATTTTTCTTACATTTCTATTTGTAATTTTAATTGTTCCAGGCCGAGTCAAGTAGCGGACTGTGAATATATTTTTATCTTGTGTAAATTTTCATTTTTTCTGATGTCGATAATTACATTGCTTATTTTGCTTAGCTTTCTTTGAATCTCTGGCCAAATCTTGTATCATTCCACAACTCTGAAAACACTTCTACTACCATCTCATCTCTACTTCCTGTATTACCTGGAACTTGAAGCTTTCTAGGGTTCTATGTGGGCAATTTTGCTTGCTTCTCATGAAATTCTTTTTTTGCAGGCACTCATGTCTGACTTCCCCTGCTCTGCTGGGTTTTGTAGCATTTTTTAAATTAACTTTTTCTCGTCATCTGTTGTTTTCTGTTTTCCCCCATTTCAAGTTCTATTTATTTCTAATTCAATCAAAGATAAGAAATTTGAATTCCTGTTTCTCTCTGGAATAGAGTTCCAGAAGATCTGTACTCAATGCTAAGACTGGAATTCATCCATGAGATTTCAGTAGAGGATTCTCATATTTGCTTTGAATAAGCATCTGTCTGGCAGCAGTGTAGAGAAAATGAATCTGAGGGGAGTTGGATTAGGTTTAGGGCCAGTAAAAATAGATCAGATAATAACAGACTGGAGTTAGGGTGGTGGTAGTGAGGATGAAGAGAGTAGGCCTAAGAAATAATTAGGAGAAGAATCAGTAATTTCTGGTAAGTAATTGAATGTGGGAGTGATGGAGAAGTCGGAGAGAAGATAGTTAAGATAATGCCTTCGTTTTAAGCATGGGAAGACGAGTAGATGGTAATCTTATTTATGACAGTAGAGGGCACCAGAAGATGAGATTTTGGAATGGGAGACATGAGAATTCAGTTTTGGACTATTGAGTTTGAGGTGTCTGATACATTTAAGTAGAGACATTGAGTAGGCAGTATTAAATGGCATTTGAAACCCATGGCAGTGGAATAAATTAAAACCAAGAGAAGAGAAAAAGGAATTGGATAGAATCCTCATAAATGTCAACATCTGATGGCTGGGCAGAAAAAGAGGACCCTACAATGACGTTTGAAAAGCCATTAGAGAGAGAGAGAGAATGGTGTCAAAGAAAACTAATGAGGGCTTGTCTAGTGGTCAAGTATGATAGACTAAAAATATCTTTTAAATATAGTGACGGTAAAGGCCATTGATGACCTTGGAAAGAACAATTTATGTGGACTGGTAGGTGTAGAATCTGAAGGAGTAAGCAGGAGATGCAAAAATGGAAACAGTGAATATAGAACGTTCTTTCAAATAGTTTGGTTTTTAAAGAGTAAAGGAGGAGAGAGAGCTCGGTAGGCAAAAATGTGATGTCAAATTTCTTTTTAGTTATTTTTTGTAAGGTGAGATATTTGAGTATGATTAAATGTTAATGGATAGCCAAATAAAAGTAGAGATCAATGATATAAGTCAGTGTCAGAAGTCAGTGATAGAGTGAGGGCCTTGAGAAAGTGAGAGGGAAGGGTCTACAAAGTACAGGTATGAAGCTTAAGATCGGAAGAGGAACACCACATCCACTGTTATAAGTGGGCATGGTAGAGGGGCCAGGTAAATGTATCAGTTGATGAAAAGAGAATTCTTGATGGCTTCCATTGTCTCTGTGCAGTAGTGAAATTCAAGGATTCAAGGTTATGTGCCTACAGTGAGGAAGAAATGATGGGATCAGAGATCTGAGGAATGTGGGAACAATTTGAAATAGCTAGTGTATTGGGTTGAATGGTATCCTTCCAAAATACATGTCCACCTAGAACTTCAGAATGAGACCTTATTTGGAAATAGGGTATTTGCAGATGCAATTAATTAAGATGAGGTCATTTTGGGCTAGGGTGGGTCCTAAATCTGATGACTAGTGTCCTTTTGAGAAGAGAGAAACAATGACACAGATGGAAACAGTGGGAAGATGGCCATACAAAGACACAAAAAGATACACAGAGAGAACATCATGTGAAGACAAGAAGAGACTGGAATGCTGCATCTACAAGCCAGGGAATGCTGAGGTTTGGTCGGGTGCGGTGGCTCACACCTGTAATCCCAGCACTTTAGGAGGCTGAGGCGGGTAGATCACTTGGGGCCAGGAGTTCGAGACCAGTCTGACCAACAGGGAGAAACCTTGTCTCTACTAAACAAAAATTACACAGGTGTGATGGTGCACGCCTGTAGTCGCAGCTACTTGGTAGGCTGAAGCACAGGAATCGCTTGAACCTGGGAGGCAAAAGTTGCAGTGAGCTGAGATCATGCCACTGCATTTCAGCCTGGGTGATAGAGTGAGACTCTGTTTCAAAAAAAAAAAAAAAAAAAAACAGATTTGTTGGCACCATAAGAAACCAGAGGAGAATTGTGGGACAGACGGATTCTCCCTCAGAGTGCTCAGAGGACTAACCCTGCTGACTCCTTGATTTTGGATTTCAGGCCTCCAGAACTGTGAGCCATCCAGTTTGTGGCAATTTGTTATGGAAGCCCAAGGAAACTAAAACAGGAAAAAATGGAAAACGAGAGTGTACTACAAAAACTCAGATTATAAGTACTATTCAGAACTTAGTTGAGGTTGGTGATCATGAAATTATGTTGGCAATAAATGTAAGGCAGCCCAGGCTTAACTGTGAAAAGTGAATAGATAAAGCAGGATTCATATTCTGTCATGTATAAGCGGAATATGGACAAGGTGGCAATAAAACTGAAAATATTTCAACAGAAGGGATGCAAAGATGAAATAAAGTGTGCTTTGAGTAAAGATTAAAGACTTAAGGTGGGTGACTGGAGGCAGGCAGCAAAGGGGTTCAAGGGACAGGCTGAAAAATAGCTATAGTAAGAGAAATTGAGTAAGAGTCAAAAGAGGTTAAGGTGAGAGAGTAAGATGATTGAGTTTGTGAGTTCATAGCTGAAGCAGTTCTAGGCCATGACAAACTCCAGGATGCAGCTGAAGTGTGGAGGTGGCAGTCATCAAAAATGAAAATTTCAGGGCCAGAAACTTAGACGGGTCATCCATACTATAGTAAAATTTTCACTTTCTGGTGATTCTTATCTTTTAATAAAAATGATGCTTACAACGAAAACACAGTTCATTGGGTTTAAAAAGCATGCTAAAAAACAGTATGTGTCTATATAGTAGAAATTCATATCTACTAAGGGATGCCATAAAAAATCAAT